TGCCATTGCTGTCCTGGATAATTTCCTTTCCCTATTTGCCCAAACTGGGCTTTAGGCTCTGTTTTGGGGTTTGATTCCTGTCTGTGGGTTATTTCTAAGGTATATAACACACTGTTTCAATACCTGTCAGACAATGGTATACAAATTACGTCTTCAGTTACCATCTCATATAATAGTTTGGAGGGTATCATAATTCTCCCACCCTTTATTTGTCCTAAACCTGTTGGTAATATTTTTTTCATTTACATCTTAAGTTAATTACTTATAAATCTTAGAATATTCTATTTCATTCTCTAATGCTTTTGCTAATGCTTGGTTTTCTCTTCCCGGTACTAGTGTCAAAATATGACTCTAACTGCTGCCCCTTTGGCCTCTGCATCAGCCAATCTCTTTCAATATCAGTTTCCCCTGCTTGATGTCCTTTAGAGCGCAGAATGGCAATTTAGTAGGAAGGTATACTGCTTGGAGTAACTGCAGTATTTCTTTTGCATGTTTAATTGATTTCCCTTGGGATGATAAGAGTCCTTTCTCCTTCCAAATTGCCCCGTGTGCATGCACCACACCAAAGGCATATTTCGAGTCTGGCCAAATGTTATTTTTTTTTTCCCTTTTGCCAGCTCAAGAGCTCTTATCAAGGTGATGATTTCTGCCTTTTGGGCTAATGTTCCAGGGAAAAGAGGTTTCACCTCAATTACTTTATCAAGTGTTGTTACTGCATATCCTGCAAAGCAAACTCCCTGGCGAATGAAGCTGCTGCCATCTACATACCAATCCTCCACATCTTCTAGGGGTATATCCTTTAAATCTGGTGGCTAGAGTATACTGTTTCCATGGTCTCAGTGCAATTATGAACTGAAGAAAGAGGTTGGGTTCACAATATTAGTGACTCATTGCTGTATCAGCTGGGCTTTCTGTTGAGAAAATCGATATCCAATTAATCCAAGAAAATTTAGTAACCTAATAGTCTATTCTACACACTCCTTTTCTTCTTCAGTAGCTATCAACAGGTCATCTACGTATTGCAGCACTGTCTCCTTTCCTGGAGCGGTTTTCCAAGCTTCAAGATCACAAGCTAGTTAGTTCCTGAATATGGTGGGACTATGCTTGAAACTCTATGGTAACAGTCCAAGTACACTGAGTTTTTCGTCCTCTATTGGGATTTTCCTATTCAAAGGTAAAGAGTTTCTGGCTCTCAGTCACCACGGGCAGGCAGGAAAACGCATCCTTTAAATCTAGTACAGTGAACCAAACTTGACCGTTTCCTAATTTTTTCAAAAAGTTATAGGGGTTGGCTACTACAGGGTATAAATCTTTTATACCCTGTATAAAAGTGAAGAGGAGTGAAGAGGAACAGTCTGGCAGAATGGAGACCAGGACGGGAACAGGCACACTGATCGCCTCATGAAGATAGGTTCGGCCAAACTCAGCAAATCGCTCAGAGGAGCTCGTGCAGAAAGTCGCTGGAAAAAGGCGCACTGGAGCTGGAAAGAAGCTCAAGCTGAGAGAAGCGGACCCGTGCACACAACTGCCCCTCGCTGGTAAGCAGTTGCGCATTTTGAGGAATCATACGTCCTTAGGAACAAAGACTGTCCTGGTAACCTTACAGCTCATTCTCCTTGTTAACAATCGGACAGTTTATGAGCCTGAAACATGGGACCAAACTGAGGTCAAGGTGTGGGACTCTGCAACTGGAAACGACAAGGTTGCAGTGGGATTGCTCGGCACCTGGCGAGCAGTCTCTGAGGCCTTAAAGAGCCCTGTGGGACCACAGTCAGAAACGTGTGGTTTGCCAGACAGTGAGGGAGCTGCGGGCTCCTTTACTGATCCGACTGCTATGCCATCGGCCCCTCTGCTGCTACAGCCATCTCAGGCCTTTGCTGTTTCGCCCCCTGCTGACCTGGACGTGCCTTTTGACCCAGGCCTCTTGGCCTTCACAAGGAGATGGCTATGCTTTTCTTCGATCCGGGAAGAACGGGCTACACAAGGCCCGAAGGCAGAGTTGCTTGACAATTTAAAGCAAGACTTATTGTTCAAGAGGAATGGAAAATGGTGACTTGTTTGTAATCAAGAAAAGGAATGGAAAATGGACACCGTTAAGTCATGGAACTTGGAGGATTGTTTGTTACCTTTTCTGATCGTACGTATGTATAGGTGTACTCGAGTTTAGTGAGTCATGGAACTTAGAGGATTGTTTGTTACCTTTCCTGATTGTACGTATGTATAGGCATACTTGTGTTTAGTATGTAAAGCAATGTTCTGTATATTTAGAATATTTGATGTTTGTGTGTGCGTGTTGGTGGAGCGCAGACTCCCCGCACACCCAGCGCTATTTACTTGCCTTTTATACCTTTTAGAAAGATTTGTTTTATAAATATTACAAAATTCAGATTGAGTTGAGACCTCATTTATAACATGAAAGTTAGCCCATTTGAATTATTTATTATATGGTAAACCATATCCAGTAAATGAATTAGTGACAGATGGGAGTTAAATGCATGTCAGGGGAGGGTTGGGTCAGACAATATTGCTGTCTTTGTCTCCTGTGCTGTCCTCTCTCCATAGGTATGTACAGGAGCAATTACCAATTCCACTGGATGTTCCAGTACACCCATTCTGACCTGGACATCAGGAACTGATTCAAACCTGGAAAGACGAGCCTCTAAAGAAGTGGAAAGGACCCTACACTGAGTAGCTCCACGCCTACACTGCAATCAAGGTGAAAGGGATCAAATCATGGATTCACTACACTTGTGTGAAGGCAGCAGTACCACCACCAGCAGAAGAGGAGAAGCAAGATCTACCATCAAAGGAAGCAAAAGAGACCTTGTGGCAAGTAGAACCAACTGAGGACTTGAAATTGCTGTTCAAAATAACAAAATAATTTCTGTTCTGATTATAATTTCTTTAACTGTGTCAACTTACGGTTCCAATACTTGGACACAGAGCTTTAGATTTCAGTTAGCTTTAAACTTAACCCGTTTTGCTAATGTCATCTTTTTGGCTGTGTACACATGTACGTGCCTCAGCACATGAGGGAACTCCTGTCTATGCCATACCACTCACTGTAAACAAGACAGATGTATGGCAGTTAACAAATTCAAGCAAAGCTGGTATTTCTCCTCCACCACAGTCTCCCTCTATCCCCGTGTACCCTATCAAGAGAGAAAATTTATCATGTGCATACTCAATTAATAGAAATAAGGTGAATGTGGTTCCTGGAATCTAATTGGACAATGTAAAACGATGACTGTAGTTGAAACCACCAATTACACTATCATAAAAAAATATGGAAACAGAAGTGGACCTATCGGCCTCCATTGCTGGGTATCCTGGGCAGCAGTATATTGGCTATGTGGTCCACGAGCATGAAAAGCCCTTTCTGCTGGGTGCTATGGGACTTTTGCTCTAGGAGCTGTACTTCCAGATGTTAGACTCCATAAACATGCAGACATAAGGGGTTGGCTAAGATCATAGGCCATCTTTATGACGACGCAGGAGAAACGAGGAATTTATAACCCTCTTGCAAACAGAAATACCTGGTTTCATACTTTGTGGAGGGCACTAATCCCTGCATTGGGAGTACTAGAACCTGAGAGAGCAGTAGAAAATATTTCTGCAACGTTGGACCTGAACTCCCTTATCAAGCCTTTAAACAATCCCAGACACAACAGGACTCTGTGCTTTCTCCCTCTCCAAACACCAACAGCCCTAACCCTTACCCTAATTAATAATCCAGGCTCGGCTGCAGTGGCTTGCCCACCAGCGTGACCAGAAGCGCCTGCAGGTAGCCAGAGCATACGTCATAGGTGGTGCCATGGCAACGCGATGATGTAACAGGTAGCCAGGGCATACGTCATAGGTGGTGCCATGGCAATGCGATGATGTAACAATGCTTGAGCGCTATATAAAGGCGCTCGCTGGGAAACCGCCTGGGACAGACACAGCTGTCTGCCTCTGGAGTGAGAGGTGCTAGCAGAGGGTCGCAGCTCCCGTAGAGCTCTTGGAAGGAGCCATGGAGCAGCATGGCACTGCTAGTTCCCAAAACCCAGACGCACTGCTGGGCATAGCTGAGAAGTACGGAGAGGTGAGCGCTGTGCCCGAGGAGAGGGCTCAGAGCAGGAGCCCGGGGCGTGCGGGAGTGCTCTGGTGCCAGAGGATGCTCCCAGGAAGCTGGGGGGGGGTCTAAACGTGGTCAGGCCACAGGAGGCTTGCAGCGAGACGTGCCTCTCTCTGCCCATCCCGGGCAGCGTACTGCTAGCAAGTGGGAAGAGAGCTGCAGGGGGGTGCGGGGGTGGGCTGCAGAAGGGATTGGAGTGCCTGAGTGTCTGAGTGTCCCTGTCTTTCTAGCTCTGGCACAGATGGGGACTTGGAGAAGGAGGTAGCGGGCTGCTGGACCTCCCACTTGGAGTCAAAATCCCTCTGCTGCCAGGCACCAAGCCTGTCTTCTACAGAACAAAGCTGGGGGAAAAGGTAAGAGAAGGAGGAAGGGGTGGAAGGGGTGGCAAAGGTCTCTTGTGTCACGGGCTCCCTCCCCATCGTTCCAAGAAGGCCTTGGGGCCACCTGCGCTATGGTTGGAGCTCCAGCACTTTGGTCCAAGCGGGTGGAGGAGTCAGGGACAGATGCTCGCGGCTCCGCAGCACAGAGACATTTCTAGCCGGTGGCCCAAGATGCCTACTTTGCTGGTGGGGTTTGGCCTTCTCTCCCCAGCCCAGGCCGGACCCTCAGCCCAGGCCTGGTGGGGGTGTTTTTGATGGCTTCAGAAGGAAGGTCCAGCCGGGAAGTAAGCCCAGAATCAGAAACCTCTAGCGCAGAGGTTGGCAAAGGCTAGCCCCTGTGCATGAGGAGCTTGGAAGTGCCTTTGCCTCTGTGCTGCTTTCTCCTGCCCCATTCATACTCTGGACCACCTCTCTTGCAGCTGCACCAGCCTTCCGCTCAGTTTCATCTGGAAGATCCATATTGTCGCCTACTGCGCACAGAGTACACTGCCTGCACGACCCGCATCTGCAGGCCTACTACAATCACAAAGACAGCCTGCAGAGCCTGAAGAGCAAGGGCTTCATCACCAGCAGCGGCAAAGTAGGTTTGGACGTTGCGCTGACCAGCACAGGTCTCCTCTGGCAGAGGCCAATGGGATGAGGTTTTAACACGGCTCAGTGCCAGTTCCTGCACTTTGGCCACAACAACCCCGTGCAGCGCTAAAGGCTTGGGGCAGCGTGGCTCAAAAACTGTGCCGAGGAAAAGGATCTGGGGGTGCTGATTGATGCTTGCCTCAACATGAGCCGGCAGCGTGCCCAGGTGGCCAAGAAGGCCAACAGCATCCTGGCTTGTCTCAGGAATAGCGTAGCCAGCAGGAGCAGGGAGGTGATGGTCTCCCCCTGCACTGTGCTCTGGAGAGGCCGCACCTCGAGTGCTGTGTTCAGTTTTGGGCCCCTCAGTCCAAGAAGGACATCGAGGCCCTGGAACTTGTCCGGAGAAGGGCTACGAAGGGCTGGTGAAGGGCCTGGAAGAAAAGTCCTCTGAGGAGCGGCTGAGGGAGCTGGGGTTGTTTAGTCAGGAGAAGAGGAGGCTCAGGGGAGACCTTCGTGCTCTCTCCAACTCCCAGCAAGGAAATTGTGGGGAGCTGGGGGACAGCCTCTTCTTGCAGATGACTAGAGGGAATGGGCTCAAGTTGCGCCGGGGACGTTTAGCTTGAAAACTAGGAGCCATTTCTTCTGAGAAAGAGTAGTGGGGCCTTGGAAGGGGTTGCCCAGGGGACTGGCGGAGTCACCGTCCCTGGGAGTGTGTAAGGAAAGCTTGGAGCTGGTGCTTAGCGACATGGTGCTTAGTGACATTGGTAGTAGGGTGATGGTTGGAGCAGATGATCTTGAAGGTCTTTTCCAACCCTGCTGATTCGATGATTGCCAGCGCGCTTGCTGCAGCCGCTTGTTGCTGGTGGGGGCCACAGGGCTGCTGCGCTGCCTTCCATGGGAGCAGACGTCACCCCAGCGCCCTGCTGGCAGTGCCCACTCCTGCTCTTCTCAGGCTGCCTCGCGCTGCCTGTGCATGGAGGAGGCAGCCGCTGTGGGGCCTGGTGCAGAGCGAGGAGTCCGCTCGGCCCTGGCTCGGAGGGAGGCAGCGTCCCCAGCGCTGGGGAGGGGAGAGGATGGAGAGGAGCTGCTCCCCTGCCACTGGCAGCTACCTCGATAGTTCTCGGGAGCTTTCTGCCCTTGTCTCTCCATAGGTGGTCTGCTCTCTCAAGGAGTTCAATGAGTACAGGCAGTATTTGACCACGCTCAAGCTGGAAGCGGAGAAAATCAAGAGGCAAGAAGAGGTAGGCAAAGCTCAGCAGACACATGTCAGTGGCACGGTACAGAAGGCTGGGGCTTTTCTTGTTGGATCTGAGGGAGGTGGGGAATGCAGAAGATGTGCTGGAGGGCCAGGTGTTGTGGTAGGGAAAGGATGACCCAGCCCCAAGCTCAGCTAGCGCAAGCTACTGGAGGGGGGGTGAGGTGTGTGTGTGTGTGTGTAGGGGGGGTGGATCAGGAAAGCTACTTGCAAGCATATAGAGCCCTGAGGGAAGCCCTTCTCTTCAGCCCTCGTTGCGTGGCAGAAGCAGGGCACTGGCATGGGTGGCATGAAACCTCAGCACGCAAGGACACGAGTCATTTCTGAGGCAAGAGTGATCTAGAACCTGCTGTTCCATTTCAGGAAAAGCTTCAGCAACAGCTCGCCAAGTTAAAGAAACTTGACGCAAGACTGATGGCGGGGAGCGACCGTTCTCGCCAGAGCTCCTCCAGTAATGTGTACTTGGTCTCGAAAGGGAAAGCCAGCCTACTGCAGCCTCAAAAACCAGCTGGCCCACCTTCCCACAAAAGCAGAAGAAACTTTCCCCAATCTGGCCAGTACAGAAGGCTGAAAGTGACTCCCTCCAGCGTTGAGGTGGGCAGGGAAGATGCCAAGCTCCCTGAGAGTATCCATGCTGTTACTGAGTCCGAGAGAGAGTCACCCGTCCCCGCAGACGGTGTATTCAAAGCTGCCTCGGAAGAACAGGCTGCTAGAGAAAGCCAGAGGATTGAAGAGGTGGCTCGGGCAGTGGTGCGGCAAGTGTTTGAGAGGGTGCAGGCACTGGACCAGTCTGTCTGCGTCTTGAAGAGGTCTCCCCATGGGATCCAAGAAAGACCGTGTGCAAGTGCCGAAAGCGAGATGCCTTCAGAGGCATCTCCTCTTGACAAAGAGCAGCAAATTGCACTGCTGTCTAAGAAGGTTGTGGCGAGCGTGATGAAGGCCGTTGAGAAGTTCTGGGAATCCGGCACGCCCAGTGCATCTGAGCCAAGGCCAGAAGCCGGCCAGAAGGAGCAGCCCTTGGCCAGGAGAGCATCCCACGTGGGGAAGCCAGAAGAAAAGAAACCAAGGGAAGCCCTTGAGGGAGCATTCTCACAGGCTTCCCTTGACAAGGTCACCAAAGAAGCTGTTGGAAGTGTCTGCGACACTTTGGAATCCTTCGTGGCTTCCCGGGTTGAGCAAGACTTCAACTGAAAGTATTCTGAAATCGTGGCGCTTCCCACTGTTGATGCCTCCAACAGGCAGCCACAGCCATCCCAGGGGCCTCTCTCACGGGAGGGCATGAGGGAAGGGCAGGGACTACAAACAGCATCAGAAGAGCAGAGCCCAGAAGCAAGGCCGGGAGAAACGTTGCCCATGATCCCACCAGTGCCAGACACTGATGAGGTCTCACGCCTGAGTTGCAGGAGTGTGAGGGGGAGCATCCAAAAGGCTGCCTCCGAAGTTCAGCGTCTGCACACAGAACTGCAGGCCTATGCCAGAACCATTGTCCTTAATGTGATTGAAGAAGTGAAGGACAAGATGGAGAGGGAAATGAAAGCAAAGGCCTTAGACGCCGTTTCAAGCAGCAAAACTGTGGCAAGCGGGATGACGCGCTGCTTATCGGAGCAGAGCTCTCAGTCTGTGACTGCACGGAAGCTGGAGAAGAACTTGGGAAGGCGTGTCAGCAAACAGTCTGTGCCAAGCAATGGGAAGGAGAGCCGTCCCTCGGAGCACCTCCGAAGAGGCTCTGAGCAAGGTGCTCCCATGGCAGGCTCTTCTGCCCCCACAGGGGAATCCCAGACCCAGCTGAGGTCCAAGAGCACCACAGGCACCATCCCTCCCACGGGCCCACAGTTTCTCAGGCAGCCGGCTCCTCCATCTGTTCCGAAGCAGCCTGCCCAGAGCGGAGCACGGAGGCTACGCGTGCGTGTCAGACCGATCCCATTGAAGCCTCAGTAGCCTGAGGCGGAAGCAGAAAATAAAGAGCTTACATCCAAGTGCTTGCTTGTGCCTCCATTTCTTCAAGCCAGGCCATGCTGTGCTTGGGGATTTTCCCTACACCGTGTGGTGGTGTCACCCAGCTGGGCGGCTGAACTCCAGCACGAGCACTCTCTCGCTCGCCCTCCTCAAGCAGAAAGGGGGAGAAAATAGGATAAAACGGGCTGCAGGGTTGCGATAAGGACAGGGAGGCCACTCACCAATTAGCATCACGGGCAAAACCCGCTCAGCCTAGGGAGATTAATATAATTCATTACCTATTGAAAGGGGCTAGAGCAGTGAGATACTAAAAGCAAACTAAAACCACCTTCTCCCTTCCATCCACTTCTACATCCACCCTCCCCCCACGTGGCTCAGGGGAACATGGGAGTGGGGGCTATGGGATGAGGCTTAACAAGGCCAAGTGCCAGGTCTTGCACTTTGGCCACAATAACCCCCTGCAGTGCCATAGGCTTGGGGCAGAGTGGCTAGACGACTGTGAAGAGGAAAGGGACCTGGGAGTGTTGATCGATGCTTGGCTGAACGTGAACCGGCAGTGTGCTCAGGTGGCCAAGAAGGCCCACGGCATCCCAGCCTGTATTAGAAAAAGTGTAGGCAGCAGGAGCAGGGAGGTGATCATCCCCCTGCACTCAGCTTTGGTGAGGCCGCATCTCAAGTGCTGTGTCCAGTTTTGGGCCCCTCAGTCCAAGAAGGACATCGAGGCCCTGGCTCGTGTCCAAAGAAGGGCAACAAAACTCTTCTACATCCACCCTCCCCTCAAGTGGCTCAGGGGAACATGGAGTGGGGGCTGCGGTCAGTCCTTAACGCTTCATCTGCTACGCTCCTTCACCGTCACTCTCTGAGTGTGGCTGAGCACAATCTGTTAGGAAGGGACTTCATAATAAGATTAAGGTTGGAAATCAAGAGCCAGGGGGGAGAATTAAAAATTCAGCTCTATACCCTAACCCAAGAAGATGAGGGAGAAATAGACCCACAGGTATGGTATCAAGAGGGAGATTCAGGAAAATTAGGTATGGACCCCTTGGTAGTAGAAGGAGTGGATCCGTGACAGCCAATAAGGATTAGGCAATATCCGATCCCATTGGAGGGGAGAAGAGGACTCAAACCAGTTATAGACAGGTTGCTCCAAAAGGGGGTGCTGGAACTTTGTATGTCCCCACATAATACCCCCATTTTGCCGGTAAAAAAGGCTGATGGATCATATAGGTTGGTTCAAGATCTTAGGGCTGTGAATCAACAAACCACAACCAAATTCCCAGTGGTGGCAAACCCATATACCTTAGTAAACCACCTAACACCTCAGCTCAAATGGTATAGTGTAATAGATTTGAAGGATGCTTTCTGGGCCTGCCCACTAAGTGAAGGGTCTCGGAATTACTTCGCCTTTGTATGGGAAGACCCCGAAACAGGAAGGCAACAACAGCTCAGATGGACCTTGCTTCCTCAGGGATTCACTGAATCCCCAAATTTATTTGGCCAAACCTTAGAAAAATTATTACAACTTTTTGAGGTAAAAGGGGAAGTGAAATTGTTGCAATATGTGGATGACCTATTAATAGCTGGGGAGACTGAAAAAGAGACCCGGAGAACCACTATTGAATTACTTAATTTCTTAGGGAAAAAAGGGTTGAAGGTCTCAAAATCTAAATTACAGTTTGTGGAAAAGGAAGTAAGGGGCTTAGGACATTGGCTTAGCCAAGCAAAGAAAAAATTGGATCCTGACTGGGCATCTGGGATTTTAGCCCTCTCATCACTCAAAACGAAGAAGGAAGTGAGGCAAGTGCTCGGCCTCTTGGGATATTGTAGACCTTGGATTGAAGGGTTTAGTGAAAAGGCAAAGTTTTTATATGAAAAATTGACTGGAGAAAAAGAATTAAGTGGAACGAGGAAGATGAGGAAAAGCTGAGGTTGATCAGGAAAACGTTAATAGAAGCTCCAGTGCTGAGCCTCCCAGATTTAGAAAGACCCTTTTACTTATTTGTAAATGTTTCTAACCAAACCGCATATGGAGTACTAACTCAAGAATGGGCAGGGATCAAGAAACCTGTGGGATATTGTTCCAAACTATTAGACTCTGTGAGTAGGGGGTGGCCGGTGTGCTTACAGGCAATTGTGGCTTACTGATTGAGGAAGCTTGAAAAGTCACTTTTAGGGCACCTCTGAAGATATGTGCTCCACATAATGTTAGGGGAGTACTCCAGCAAAAGGCTGAAAAATGGTTAACTGATAGTAGGATGCTGAAGTATGAGGCCATCCTGATCGACTCCCCTGATTTAGAACTAAAAGTAACTGCTGCACAGAGCCCTGCACAATTTTGAGATGGGGAACCCCTAACAGAACTACAACATAACTGCGTAGAAGTGATTGAATGGCAAACCAAAATCCAACCCGATCTCGAGGAGACAGAATCAGAGACAGGGGAAAAACTATTTATTGATGGATCGTCCAAAGTAGTAGATGGACAAAGAAGATCAGGGTATGTTGCGAGGACATTTGTTGTCGACGGAAGGAAGACAAGCGCACTCAATATGAGTGATCAGCAAGCTCCAATTTTATTGCCCGAATAGCCTACCTTTTATAGTGAACTTAACAGGGGCGGACAGTGTCTCACACAAGATCATTGGTCAAAAGCACTCAGACGAACAGTTACAAGAAAACAACCCCACCTGCAAGAAAAGAACCCCTTGTGATTAGCAGTCACGTAAACCTTGTCCTTGAAGCCAGCTGCTGGTAACAGTATTTTCTGAGTTCCTTAACTGGGCGATGTGGGAGTCATAGCCGTGGGAGCTTCTCACAGTTACTCTGGCAGCTTGGTTGGCTCAGCTACAGCAGGCCCTGAGATTTTCTAAGGCCTACCCCTGGTTGCTTAAAGCAAGCTCAAATTGAACAATTGTTCCACGGGCACATGTCCACATCCCGTATGCCAATTCCCAACAAGGGTATGCCGTCGTAAATGGGGATATGGTCCTAATAGAATCAGGGCCACTCAGCGCTGCCTGATCCGCTCAAGCATGTGAACTTTATGCATTATTACGAGCCCTAGAACTATTGAAAGGGAAAAGTGGCACTATTTATACAGACTCTAAATATGCTCATGGAATAGTCCACACATTTGGGAAAATTGGGGAAGAAAGGGGACTCGTAGGCACACAGGGAAAAGGGCTGATTTACCAAACGTTAGTTGCTCAAATATTGCAGGCGTTGAGAGGACCTAGGGAGATTGCTGTGGCACATATCAGAGGACATCAAAAGGGAAGTGGCTTCCACATAAGAGAGAATAACCTGGCGGATAGAGAAGCTAGGGAAGCAGCTCTTAGGAAGCATGATGTAGTCCTAACCCTACAAGAAACGGATAACGGAAAAGGGGCACAAGAGAAAAAGTATACAGAAGCAGAAATAAAAATTATAAAGACCATAGAGGCAGAACTGAAAGCAGGAAAATGGATTCTGCCTGATGGAAGAGAAATACTGCCAAAGGAACAAACTAGGCGTCTACTTTTACGACTACACCTACAAACCCACTGGGGAACAAAAGCATTGAGTGATCAATTTCTAAAATTTTATGGGTGTGTAGGAATATATGAGATAGCCAAACAAACCGTCCAAGGATGCTTAACATGTCAAAAGGTAAATAAGAAGGTGTCGTGGTTCCGCTTGAGTGGGCAGCCGAGCTCCAGCACAGCCGCTCTCTCACTCCCCCTCCTCAAAGAGGAATGGGGACAAAATATGATGAAAATGGCTCAAAGGTTGAGATAAGGACGAGAAGATCACACAGTAATTATTGTAACGGGCAAAACAGCCTCGGCATAAGGAGATGGTAAGATTTATTGCTTATTACTAACAAGCTAGAGAAGTGAGAAACAAAGGAAAGAAACCAAAAGCACCTTCCCCCCCATCCACCCTCTTCCACCTCCTCCCCCCGAGCAGCGCAGGGGAACGGGGGAACGGGGGTTATGGTCAGTCTACAGTGCTTCTCTGCTGCTCCTTCTCGGTCAGTCTCGTCCCCTGTGCTGTGGGGTCCCTCCCACAGGATGCAGTCCTTGCTGAACTGATCTGGTGTGGGCTTCCCACAGGCAGCAGCTCCTCCAGAACTGCTCCAGATATGGGTCCGTACCATGGGGTCCATCCCTCAGGAGCAAACTGCTCCAACCTGGCTCCCCCACGGGCAGCAGCTCCTGCCAGGTCACCTGCTCCTGCGTGGGCTCCTCTCCACGAGCTACAGGTCCGGCCCGGAATCTGCTCCGGCAGGGGTCTTCCACAGGCGGCAGCCTCCGTCGGTGCAGGGCCACCTGCTCCACCGTGGTCTCCTGCACGGGCTGCAGCGTGGAACCCTGCTCCACCGTGGTGCTCCATGGGCTGCAGGGGGACATCCTGCTTCACCGTGGGCCTCACCACAGGCCGCAGGGGACTTCTGCTCCGGCGCCTGGAGCACCTCTCCCCCTCCTTCTTCACTGACCTTGGCGCCTGCAAGGCCGTTCCTCACTCCTCCAACTCTCCCAGCTGCTGTGTGGCGCAGCGTTTTTTCCCTGTCGTAAATATGCTCTCACAGAGGCGCAAAACAACATCGCTTATTGGCTTGGCTTGGGTCAACAGTGGGACCCTTACCAAACATGGGGTAGCTTCTAGATCCTTCTCACAGAAACCACCCCTATGGCCCCTGCTACCAAAACCTTGCCACGTAAACCCACTACAGAAGGCAATTAGGCAAGCACCTGCTGGAGGAAGAAGGATTGCGTAT